TAAAATCATGAGTGGTGTGGAGAGGGCTGATAAAGAAAAGTTATTTATCAGTTCCCATAATAGAAGAACTAGAGGACACCAAATGAAATTAATGGGTAGCAGGTTTAAAACTAATAAAAGAAAGTTCTTCACACAGCGTGTAGTCAACCTGTGGAACTCCTTGCAGAGGAGGCTGTGAAGGCTAGGACTATAATAGAGTTTAAAGAGAAGCTGGATAAATTCATGGAGGTTAGGTTGGCCTCTGTTTGTTAGAGGCTGGAGAGGGATGGCAGGAGACAAATCGCTTGATCATTGTCTTCGGTCCACCCTCTCTGGGGCACCTAGTGCTGGCCACTGTCGGTAGACAGGATACTGGGCTAGATGGACCTTTGGTCTGACCCAGTACGGCCGTTCTTATGTTCTTAGAGAAAGCTAGGAAGTGTTTATTTATTAGCTTTTAGAAGGAAATTTGTTCTTCTGGATATGGGAGGTAATATTTTACACTGTACACCACTTACTCAATAATACAGGGTATCATAAATATGTATTTATAGCCTGACTATGAAATCTCACTGAAAAGAAATTACACTGAGCAAAGTTTAATCTCAACAATTTTCAAATTTTAAATACCAATGTGATTCTATGTGTTATCAAATTATATATACATATAAAAATGTGAAGCCATTTTTCTGTACTCCAATACAAATAAAGCATTCTGTACTGGTAAAATTGTATCTATTTTGTTAAAATTGTTTTTAGATGTGAAATATAGACTTATAAAAGAGATTAGTAGCGAAAAGGCTAACAACCGCACTAGGAACAACTAAAATTGTATTTTCATTTCCTTTTTCAATATACAAAAATCTCATGGTCTTGTTTATTTACCTGTTTCCACTGGCAACCAGCTTCATTATTGCCTTAGCATAAAATAATGTCTAAGGACAGCAATAACAAGGGGAGAGGGAAGAGTACTCCATGCTAGGCTCCTAAATAATTTTTTCCCTTCATTGATTAAAAAAAATCTTACAGTGTCTTTGGAAGTCCCCAGTTTCTTCAGTCCATCCAGAGGTAGCAGATCAGCTGAATCCTTGTGAATAAATTGCACTGCTTGCTTCATTCTTCTCTGCTGTCGGAGAGATGCAGCTTCCCTCATCTCCACTTCCTTCCGGCTAGGCTCGGTGAGGATATCTGAACAGAACATCTTTCCCTCCGGGAGCCTCACTCTCTGTCTCTGAAGATGCTGACCTCCTGTATAGAAATGAGCAGTGAAGGGGTCTGTTGTCTGCACTTATAACTGATGCCTCGTGACGTTTGGGGACCAGCTGGCACTCCAGCCAGTGCTGTTTGGTAAAGGAGGGGCTAGGCACATTGCAACATGCTGCACAAACACCACGGGTTAGCTCCGACTCAAGACTAGATGACTGATCAGCAGGCTCCTTCCTCACTGGCAAGGAAGAGAGCTGGAAGGACAAAGGACCTTTAGCCACAGCTACCTGTCTTTCACACTACGTGTGGCTGGGTGACTCCCAGGGGCTGGCAAAGAAAAGAAACATTGCACAAAAGGAGAGTTTGCCAGTGGAACCACTTTTTTCCTAGAAAAACAGAGGTGGGTCTTTTAAAAAAAAGAAACCAATATCATGCAAGCTCTTTACAGCTTGCCAGGAGTCTTTGCTAACTAGAGGCCACATTATACCTATATGCTCTGCCCTGGGCAAGAGGTGAGGGGCAAACCATGGGCAGTGAGGGAAGCTAGGGATGGTGGAGGCCAGCTCCCGGCCTTGCCTTTGCCATATGATACCCTGCCCTTGCCACCTATGTCCCTTGTGGGAGCCATGGCACAGGCAGCGCGTGGCCCGGCCCCTCTGGAGCATGGCGCGGGCTGGCAGCATAGGACTGAAGCTCTGGCACCTCCAAGAGTAGGGTTGCCAGGTGTCTGGTATTGACCCAAACAGCCTCGTATTTTCACCTCCTGTCCGATAAAAAAATTCAGAAAATATCAGACACCTAAAACGTCTGGTATGTTCTGATTTTTTTCCTGGCCAGGAGGCGAAAATCCCAGGTGCTTACCAGATTCCGCAGGGGAGCTGTCTGGCCCAGAGCAGGCAGACAAGAGAGCGGATGGCCACCAGCAGCCTGTTAGGCCCAAAAAGCCTCAAACGCATTTCTTAAAGGGACCATGCTGGTTTTATTATTATTATTATTATTATTTGCTTAATAACTCTCGGGGTCCTTTTTTTTTTCTCAACAACTTTGGTCTCCCCCTTTTTTTCCCTCAATAGAACTTTTTCCCTGGTGGTATTTTTGGGGGGGGGAGCTATGTTCGGTATTTTTAGTTAAACCATCTGGCAACCCTATCCAGGAGACTGGGAAGCTGTGCTGAACCAGGGCTCAGGAAGCCTGAGGGCAGAGTGTGGGTGGGGTCAGCCAGGCAGTTTGGGAAGACATTGCCTTCCCCTGCCTCTTACTCCCACTGCCCATGGCGCAAACAGCACAACCCCAGATGTTGCTTTAGGAGACATTCAGACAAGGACACCCTGTGAGGCTCAGCCCCTCCCTTCCCATGCTGCAGGCAGCATCTGAGACAGCCCTTTACAAGTGACTGCTGGTTGGCACCATGTGGGCAGAGCCTTCCCCTGCCCAGGTGAAGGGAGGGCTGGAAAGGAGTGGAGGCACACAGCTCTCTGTGCCTGAAGTTGTTATCTGGGTGGGTCTCATGAGGTCATGCTGGGGTGCGGGGCCCGGCTTTAATCCTGTGCTGCCATCTTAGTTACTCAGGGTATGTCTACACTACCCCCCTAGTTCGAACTAGGGGGAGTAATGTAGTCAAACGGAGTTGCAAATGAAGCCCGGGATTTGAATTTCCCGGGCTTCATTTGCATAAAGCCGGCTGGCGCCATTTTTAAATGCCGGCTAGTTCGGACCCCGTGCCGTGCGGCTACACGCGGCACGGATTAGCTAGTTCGGATTAGGCTTCCTAATCACTGCCCAGCTGATTAGCAGAGCGCCCACAGCCAGGTTTTTTGTTTTCACTGGTGGTGTAGATTGGCACATGCCTCAGTGCACATAAAAAGCTGAGTTATGAGCAATGTTCCCTCTAATCTTTCCCATCCGTGTGTGGAATAAATTTTTATGCAATCTACACAACTTAGGCAGACCTCATAGGGATGTTACAATTTTCATAAAAATAATTCTGCCACAGTTTAGCAGTGAAGAGGAATAGGGGAAGCAGAGAGAGATAAACCCAAAAGTGACCAAAATAAGCAGAGAAGTAATAAGAAGTAAAAAGTGATTAAGAAGGGAAAGGCAAGTTATCGCCTCTTGAAGAAACTGAGCTAATTTTTTAAAAGAAGAAAACACAGGCAGGTAGGCAAACGGGCTCTATATCAGAGGGGCAGATTCTCGTTCCAGTGTTGCCACTGAATAGTGCCTCACTCCCCCATAGACTCATTACAGCAAACGCAGTGGGTGCCATGTAACAAGCGGGAGGGAATCTGAACGTGGGAGCAGCAGCCCCCCCCAGCCCTCCTCATATTGATTTATAGTAGCACATTTAAATCTCAATGCAGTTTCACTGCCAGGACGTTGCTGAGCGGGCACAGAGCAGCAGACAGCTCATTCAGGATAGCTCCTCGCCGATGAGGATGGGAAGAACAACTGTCTCCACATTTACATCAGCACCCCCGGCCCAGTGACATTCCGTAAGTCATGTGATCCCAACAAGACACAGATGCTGCTTCCAAGGACATCGTCTCTCAAACAAGACAGTGACGCTGATGTCGAGAGCCTCCTGGAGGCATGCTGCTGACATCAGCATGCACCACTGCTCTGTGCTGAGGCTCGGCAGGAGTAGCCCCTTGGATAAGGTCGTGCCTCTGAGCTCTGTAACCAATTTAGCACCGTGTATGACTGTACAGGCAACTCCCTCAGCCAGTTGATAACACGGCCACATGCTCTTAAAGGAGGGGGAATAAAAAGCAGAGGCAAAGACATGCAAGACTTTTTCCTATTCTTGCCTAAAAGGGCATTAAAGTGGGACATGACCTGAGTGTTCAGCAATTCTGGGTCTATGCTGAAGGAGAACAACCATAATACCCACAAAGGGCAAAACAGTTTGAACATGGATGTGGTTTTGTTTGTGGCCTATTACACAATCAAATAGATTTTTCACCTCAAAACCCATTTGGCACAAAGCCAATTGATTAAATAAAGATGTTAAAGATGTTTAATGATCTCGATGCCATCCCTAAAGCGAGAGAGGGCACAGTAAAAGAAAGGCTCATACTAAAGGCAGTGTATGAATGCTATATAAAAGGAGCCACACAGAGCCATTCTGTGTCTATCTGTATTGCCCAATGCCCAGTTAGCTCTCACTCATGGCAAAAAAAGCATCTGCATCAAAGCTGAGATACCAGGTGGAGTACTACAATAAAACTGAATGCCATAGCTCCTAGTTTACATATCAATCTGGCAAACAAATAAGTCTCACAAATTCACTTACACCATCCACGTGTTATAAATATACACCTTAGAATCGTGGAATCCTAGGGCTGGAAGAGACCTCAGGGATCATCAAGTCCAGCCCCCTGCCCAAGGCAGGACCAACCCCAACTAAATCAGCCCAGCCAGGGCTTTGTGAAGCCGAGACTTAAAAAATCTCTAGGGATGGAGATTCCACCACTTCCCTAGGTAACCCATTCCAGTGCTTCACCACCCTCCTTATGAAATAGTTTTTCCGAATATCTAGACCTCTCCCACTGTAAGTTGAGACCATTGCTCCTTGTTCTGCCATCTGTCACTACTGAACAGCCTCTCTCAAGCTTCTTTGGAACCTCCCTTCAGGAAGTTGAAGGCTGCAATCAAATCTCCCCTCACTCTTCTCTTCTGCAGACTAAACAAACCCAGATCCCTCAGTCTTTCCTAACAGGTCATGGACTGTAGCCCCCTAATCATTTTGGTTGCCCTCTGCCCACCTTCCACCAATAGAAGAGCTGGAAATGTGCCCAATATGATTAAATATTTGTGTGTTAGGGCAATTTACAAAATAAAAATGGTCTTTGGATTGACCCCCTTTCCTAACATCATCTCTGCAATCAAAATATCCTGTATCCACAGCAGCACATCCATTTTTCTCTGTGTTTTTAACACACTGGTTAGCTTTTGTTACAAATAAACAGTCAACTCAGACTAGCCAAAGGTATTCCTTCCTCCAAGTTTGGGATGTTTAAATCAGAAAAAGGCTTTAGCAAAGGTCCCTTTCTACTGGACAGAGGTGTTTCCATGGAAGACCTAGCCTTTATGGGAGTAAGGCCTCAAAGGTCATTCAGATCTTTCTTCCTGTTTTGTGATTCCGAAGTGTCACGAAAACCAAAGATGCCATCACCAGGAGACTTGAACCATGCTGCTATTGGACACGTTCTCTTCTAATTTGGGAACAGTTCAGCCCAGCTTCCATGAAGCTAACAGGGGTCTGGTCAAAACAATGTGTGCCTCTGTATAGTGTGGAGAATGAATGACAAGCCCCCGGTGTTGATTTGGGGTGTTTGTAGCAGGGCTAGGAAAGGGTCTTAGGCTACATCTTTCCCAATGAACAACTGTTATTACGTCTATGGGTAACAGGCCCACAGAAACTGCCAGTCAGAACAGTTTTGCTGCTTGGCAGATGACTAGGATATGATGAGCAAACTCTTTTCCCCTTGTCACTCAAAGGGTGCTCTATTTTCTCTCTCCATTACTACAGATATTTGTCTTGCAGCAGAGGCAAGTTCCTCACAGCCTTCCTTTATTGGCTTGACTCAGAGGTGAAGTCAATTCTGTGCCTATGACATAAGAATGGTAATGGCTGATATCACAATTGCAGCACAATGACTTCACTTCAGAATCATGTGAGCTGCGATGAGGGAAACCCATTTAACATGAACTGATTATTAGCATGAACTAATCATATACTGATCATTAGCATTAACATTAACTGATCATTAGCAAAGAAGAACACACAGAAGATTTATAAGAAAATACATATGAAAACAGAGTGGAGTTAAGGTGGCCAAATTGAGGCCAGCTGTATAAGTAGTTGTAACTCCATTGTATCAGCTTACAGCAAGCCTCAATTTGGCCTAGAACTTCAAACAGAGCTGGGGAAAATTGTTCAAACACGTAGATTATTCACTGAAATTGTACTTTCGGCTCCACCACTGAAATGATTCAAGAATTTGGGTCCAAATCAGCAAAGAGTTTTGGTCAAAAAAGAATAATGAATACTCATTTTAAGAAGTTGAAATGCTTTGGCTTTTCATT